AATTTTAAATAGAAGGTCATAGAAAGGTTGAAAGTAAATGAATGGTAAAGACACAAGTCATAATAAAACTGGGTGGCTATATTAATATCCAAGTGATTTAAGGCAAGGAGTGTATAATGAAAACATCTGTTATTTTAGAATACATTATAATACTACTTATAGAGTTTCAAAATGTATAAAACTGACAGAACTAAAAAGACAAGGAAATCTATGATTATTGAATTTTCTAATTTTTCGTTTCTTAGTTATTGATTTGGAAAAAAGCAAACAAAATTCAGTAAAGTATCAGAGTTGAGCAGTGAGCACTTTGCATAGCTGATATTTGTGGGACAGAACCCCAGGGACTGTGATATAAACCCGCGCTTTGCTTCTGACGGTGCTGGGTTAGTTTTCTGAATGCTGAGGCTTTGACAGACGCTCTGACCATGGTTCTCCCTCCCTCCCTCCCTGCCAGGGCCTTGGGTTTCTGGACATTGCCTCCTCTTCTTTAGTTTGACTTACCACTCACATTCTGGCTTACCTTTAGTTAAAAGGAATTATGGAAACTATGAAAGTACCTTTCCTATGCAACTGACACCTTTAGAAGAAACAGTTTTTAATAGCCTTTTCAGATAATTTTGGATATTCTCTTGGATAAAGTACTTGAAAAATGGTTTCTGAAACATGAATTGATTAGACTTTGAAACTGTGTCAGTGAACTTTTTGTACTCCGTTGCATTGGTCTTTCTAGCACTTTGATGCAATCTTTTAACCATGCATAACTCTTAACACCATTGATCATTTGAAAACTATTGCTCAACTGTGTTGCACAGATTTGCTGAGTATTGTTGAAATATTCATTATATTTTAATTCATAAATTCCACAAACTTTTTGAACCTCTACGATATTGAAAAATCACACTAGAAAGTTTTCAAATATTGGGATGCTGTCAAGATTATAAAGGAGCCCCGGAGGTGTATTGGCTTATAAATTGGGCTGCTAGGTAATCCAGGGCGGATGAGTCCTACAGGACCAGTGGTGTGAGTGGCGATACTGGGAGGGTAGAGGGAGAGTGGGTAGGAAAGAGGGAACCGATTACAAGGAACTATATGTGACCTCCTCCCTGGGGGACGGACAACAGAAAAGTGGGTGAAGGGAGACGTCGGACAGGGCAAGATATGACAAAATACCAATTTATAAACTATCAAGGGCTCATGAGGGAGGGGGGAGCGGGGAGGGAGGGGAAAAATGAGGACCTAATGTTGGGGGTTTAAGTGGAGAGAAAATGTTTTGAGAATGATGAGGGCAATGAATGTACAAATGTGCTTTACACAATTGATGTGTGTATGGATTGTGATAAGAGTTGTATGAGCCCCTAATAAAATTATTTAAAAAAAAAAAAGCAAATGATGATGGCAGCATATGTACAAATGTGCTCCACACAATGGATGTATGTATGGATTGTGATAAGAGCTGTAAGGGCCCCCAATAAAATGATTAAAAGAAAAACAATAAATTGGGCTGCTAATTGCAAGGGCAGCAGTTCAAATCCACCATCTTTTCTGAGGAAGGACCATAAAGCCTCTTGATTCCCTAAAGATTTACAATCTCAGACACCCACAGGGGCAGTACTCCTCTGTCCAATATGGTCTCTGTGAGTCAGAATTAATTTGATAGTGAGTTTTTTTGAGTTTGATCAAGGTTACAAGGAGCCTTGGTGGCGTTATTGAGTATTAGACTAGTAACTGCAAGGTCGGTAGTTCAACCCCACCAGCTGCTTCATGGGAGAAAGATGCGCCTATCTGCTAGTTTAAATATTTGCAGTCTTGGAAACACCATAGAGGCTCGCTATGAATTGGAATTGACTCGATGGCAATGGGCTTGGTTTTTCTTTGTACATGGGGATGGGAATGAGTGAGGGTCAAGGTTGTTATTCCAAATTTCTGGGTTGCTTTTTTTCTTAAAGGTTGAATTTTATCATTGGTAACTATTAATTGCCAATTGCTTCTCATGAAGTGACAATCTTGCGTAAGAGAAAATGTGTACTAAATACCCTAATCTAAATAACTAGTTTGCCTGTCAGTCACTCCAGCTTTCCTGATATATGCCAAGACTGCAGCAGATTTATATACCATTGCTGCGCTCTTTGAACTCTTTAAAAGAGTTTTGAGACCCCTAGCAGACCACAGATCACAACGTGACTACTGCTGAACTAGCTAGATTCTGCCTTTTGGGGCAGGGGTCCAGTTTAGTGACTGAGCAGTAAGCCAGTTTTTCCCAAAACATCTATTCCAGAGGTTCTCAACCTATGGGTCGTAACCCCTTTGGGGGTCGAACAACCCTTTCACAGGGGTCACCTGATTCGTAACAGTAGCAAAATTATAGTTATAAAGTAGCAATGAAAATAATTTTTTTGTTGGAGGGTCATCACAACATGAGAAACTAACTGTATTAAAGGGTCGTGGCATTGGGAAGGCTGAGAACCACTGATCTATTCAACAATCCATGTTTTTGTTACCTTGATTATTTATGAAGTTCACAATTATAGCCTTGCCTTTTTAAGTCTTTTATTAGATAAGAAACTTACTCCTTATAGTTCCATTTCTGAACATTGTAACCTCTTTCTTAACTCATGTACTCTTTTTCACCTTAATCTTGTTTATTGAGTTTATAAATATTAGCCAGATGGAAAATGTATAATAAAAGTAATTGCTTTTTAAGATTTATTTATTGCATATGTATTAATTAGTAATTATTCTTTTTAAAAATCATTATAGGCAATATGGAAATTACTGAGGCAGCACTTGTAAGAGACATTTTATACGTCTTCCAGGGCATAGATGGAAAAATCATCAAAATGAGCAGTACTGAAAATTGTTATAAAGCAGAAGGAAAGGTATAGTAACTAAGTATAGTTTAAATTTTTTAAAATTGTTAAAATTATTACAAAATTACAATAAAAAATCTATAGCCAATTATTTGTGAGATGTTTTGGGTATTGTAGACGTGCTGTACAAAGTGGTTGTGCCAATCAAGTTATATATAGTATTACATTCTGGCTTATATTCGTTGTCCATCTTGTGGCTTATGCAATTTTTTTTAGGAACACACTTTGTAAACAATATTTGTTTCTTTTTCTTTTCACTAATAACTACCCTTTTAGATTATTTTTGCATAGTTATGGTAATTGTAGAGGTACATTACAACTTGGTATCTTTGTCATCGATACTACATTCCAATTAAGACGTCTTTGCCTTTTTCATTTTCTGAAATGGAATGCACATGCTCAGCCCCTCCTTGTTTCTGTGCAGTGAAGTTCTGCCATGACTCTCAGCTTGTTTCACACATGAAAGCACAGACTGCCGGCACGAGGAAGAATAGTAGATCGCGGTCAAGTCACTTATCAGGGACGGACTATATAGAGAGTTTAATGTGTATTTGAGATTGTTTTAACTTATTGCTTGTTGACTGTTGTTTTCTTGTTTCTCTTCTCACTGTTTTCACTGTTAGTGATGTTATCAGTATTAACTTTCACTTATTCAAATACAAATTACAAAATTAAAAAGTACAACTGCTTATGGAAAGTAATTAAAATTCTAGGATTCGTATTTCATTTTAAATTTTGAATATGTTTATTTTTTAGGCAAACTTAAACAAATCTTTGCGAGATACGACCATCAGACTTTCAGAGTTGGGATGGTTACATAACAAAATCAGAAAATACATTGACCAGAGGAGCTTAGACCGCTCATTTGGACTTGTGGGTCAGGTATGTTGGTTCTCAAGGAAGAACATTTGGGATCCCATTCACTTTGGGAAACGTGTATGCTACTGAAATTCTTACTGAGAAAATGATTTTTAAGAGTTTTTTTTTTTTTTAAACGAAAGAAATTTTGATCACAGACCACTGTATCTATCAATCAGGGTCCACTCAAGAAAAATACCACAGTAGATATAAGAAAGATAACCTGAGGTAGCCAGTTGTCCGAGGAGGATAAAAGCGAAGGGAGCTGGATAGCCTGAAGAAGAGACTGTTGGTAGAATTGTGGATCAAGAGGAATTCTGGTAAGGGTTCAGAAGGAGAGGAGAGTTGTAGAGAAAAATCTCTACTGTCTTAAAAACATGTGGATATTAAATGTGCTTTTGTTAAGGCTGTAAAAGAAAATGCTGGACATGGGATCGGACAATGGAGAGAGGGCGATGGTTTTCATGCACCAGCAAAGAACTTGTCTTAATTTTGAAGGCAGAGCCTGTAAGTGACAAACTTTGATTCTGACTGAGAAGATTTCTAAGCAATAACTTAAAGGGGCTGCGTAATTTCTCTTTGCCACATAAATTAAATGCTAGAGGAAAGAGATGTACTTAAAAATGAACTGTGTGAAACATAACTTTCCTCT